AACCTCGAGGTCGGGGTTTAAATCCCTCGCTGTGCATTTCGCTTGTATCCTTGAGCAAGACACTTTATCTGCATTGCTTCTCTTCACCCAGGAGTATAAATGGGAACCTGGTGGGGTTACTTGCTCCTGAGCCGATTACCAGCAGCAACACTTAGCATGTGGACCCAATGACCAGGGAAGAAGAACTTCAGCGCTTCGTAACTGAAAAGAAAAGCGCTATACAACTAACAAGTAACAAGGTAACAAGGTATATATTGCTATTTTTCAGGAGACAATACATTATAAATTTATAAATTGCAAAGTAATAACAATTCAATTAAATAATTAATTTCAACGATGACTTGATATCTGAATTTAGAAAAGGCGAAAAAAATGCTGGGCTATAGGCCTAATCGAACAATAGTTTAAGGCATATCATGGCCGTAGGGAGCTGTCCGGTTGGTCCAGTTTTGGCCGACACCAACAATTCACCAATCGAAATCATTTGTATGCCAAAATTGTCCTTTTGTCCTGGCATACAAGCGATATTGATTGGTTAATTATTTGAGAAACTTGCATTAATTTGGACAGACCTGACGTGTCTTTGGGTGGTTTCGGGGTTTGGTCTCCAATTAGATGGTTAGCATTAGGCTATGTTAAAAAATTGATCATTTTTATTTGGTTCTAATAATCTGAAAAAAGTTTTCTCGAATTAGAGGGTGCACTTTATATACATACAATTTTACCTAAAGATATAACGGACAATAAAGAAATTTTAGAACATCAATATATTTTTCTACGATTTAGCAAAAAATACACCGTAGGCCTATTTCACATAAAATAATATACGAATTGCTTGATTTGGTCATTATTAAGGAATAATATTAACCTCTAGCCTATGTTCAGTTATCAGTGCAGGATCAGGGGCAGCCGGCCCACCCCTCCTCCCATTAACTTTTCCAAAATAAAAAAATAATGGAGATAAAAATCATAAAATTGCTCAACGCAACCATGATTTCTTTCGTTGGATGGCCGGATCAATAATAATTGCTTCCTATGGACCTGTATGTGTCCGATGAACCTTGAAATATAATATGCATGAATAACGCTACTACAAAAATAAAATGTGAGCAAATATTGATCATCATCTTTTAATAGATCAAACCCACCACAGTAGGACTCATTTTATAGAATCGGACCATCGAATACAGATGAATGCTAGGACATTGCATACTCTGACCAAACTGGTTTAAAGTTTAATTGGAAACATGAAATATGTTTTTTTTTTAATTAACTTATACGTTGAAGACATTTAAACTGTACTGTAATATACCGCTTGGACCTCAATGCATGTTGCTGCAAGAAGTTTGTCCTTTTCAATGAGCCGTCGCATAAGGAGACATAGTAATCTTGTTGAGATGACACTGCAACATGAACCACCACAGTTCACATTACAATGTTTTAGAGCATTGTACCATGGGAAAAACGTTTTCATTTAATCAACAGTGTGATTAAAAAAGTAATACACTTTGAAATGTAAATCAGGACACCTGGACAGACCAAAATGATATTCAAGGATCTGTAACGCCCATTTTAGATGAAAAAAAAAAATCAGCATGAAATGATTCTAAATTAAAGTGTTTCTTTTTAGCTGATGTAAAACACGAAAAGTATGACGTTATCGGCGAAGTACACAACATGGATTATTCTACTTATCGTTGTTGGCCTAATGTTATGCATTATGTCATTAGAGAAAACACCGGTGGCATATCCGCAGTTTCGAAGATTCAAAAGTTATCATGTTGCCGTTGACCATTTTTCTCCAACCTTGCATAATGTTGCTGTTCCCATGCATAGAATATTCTTAAACAAAAAACATAATGGTATCAAGGAACATGTTCTTTTGACGAAAACCAGTTCTGACCTCAACACTGGCGTTCTGGACTGGAAAAAGCAGATGACATCAAAGACTTACAAAGGAATCCATATACTGGCCACTGGAAGATCAGGGTCATCATTCCTGGGGCAGATTTTAGCAAATAGTGGGCGTGTGTTTTACATGTTTGAACCAGGAAGGCTACTTGATAAATATGGTAATAGACCAAACATTCAAAACAGCTACGAACAACTGCATCGCTATGTAAACATGATCACATCCATGTACCACTGTCGATTCGAAAATATGGAAGTCTATCTAAATGCACTAATGAAGCTTAGCTACGAAAACCAAATTGACCAAATTCCTGAGTTAGCAGGTTTAGGCCTGGATGTTTGCAATACCAAGAAACACGCAGGACGATCGCACAATGGGTGCAGTCCGATTACTAGTGAACTAATGACCAAAATATGTAAAAATAAGGAATTCATTGTCATCAAGACTATTCGAATTTCAGATATAATGAATCTAACGCAATTGGTTAACGATAACGAAGTTGATTTCAAAATAATACACCTCATTCGCGATCCAAGAGGAATGATTCTGTCAAAACTAAAGGCTTGGTTTATAGATGTCAAAACAAAAATGAAAGTAGAGCACAGACATGTTTTTGATGTTCAGGATTTATCTCCAGGAATGTACTCTGCTTTAGATCACTGGTGTAAAGTTTGGATAAAAGATGCAAGTATTGGGCAACAGATGGTATCAAAATACATGACAGTAAGATACGAAGATATATCAATGATGCCATTGATGTCAACAAGAGAAATATATGACAAACTTGGTTTAGGTGAGGTTTCAGAACACGTTGTAAACTGGTTAAATGAACATACAAGGGAATCAAGGGGTGACGAGTACTCGGTCTCTCGAAACTCAAAGTTAAACGCAGAGAAATGGCGTCGAGATATGACGTATATGCTTGCAAAGCGCATACAAGAATTGGAAAAATGTGGAAAATTCCTGGATAGATTTGGTTACATCAAAGTGAAACGCCCTCAAGACCTTACAAATGCAAGCTTGTCGTTCAGTGGAAAAAAATATCAACATAACGAATATAATTAACAACAAATAATAATAATAATATTAATAATGATAATAATAATAATAATAATAATAATAATAATAATAATTAATAATAATAATAATACAGGTCTCCCTCCACTTAAAGACCACTTTTCTGTGGTTCCATATTAACAAATGTCTTTTATTTTTATTATTCGAATTAGAGACCAACGTTACTAAAGACCATGGAAACCCTAGTCCCAAAAGTGGTCTTTAATTTGAGGAAGGCCTGCCCACAAATGTAATAATTTTCTTTTAATTTCGAATGTAGGAGCTGACTCAAAAAATCGCCAAACCGTGCATTTTGTGACATTTGACACAAGTAGGACATTTTCAGCGTCTTATCTGTGAGGCAGCGAACAGTGGTAGACTCCTTTTCTAAATGTCTGGGAGGGGTTATAGGTCATTTGAGGTCAAATAATGATTTGATAGTAGATTATTTATGCTCATTATGCATGCTGCCAAAATTGGCTCTTATTTATATGTCATAGAGAAGCTTACCAGATGTGACAGTATTCGTGTTATTTCATGTCAAAGGTCATTTAAGGTCAAATACTGGAAAACATGATAAATGCAATGGTACATGTAGCTAGCAAAGTTTCGCTCGAATAAGTTCGAAAATTCAAAATAGTCGTCATATGTTTATTTTTAAATAATCATAGTTACGGAAGAAATGTCAAACAAATGTGAAAATTTAGCTTAATTATAGGCCTACAAATTATTTGGGAAAATATTTAGGGCATCCGTGTTTTGACAACCACACGTTGTAGAAAGTTAACATTCTTTTTTTTCCCCATATGCATGTTTCTATTTCTTCCAATGAGACATGTTTTCCCGAAAGTGATATAACCTTGGAAACATATAATACATCCCCCAAGAACTTTGTAGGCTTAACCCCTTCCAGACGTTTAGAAAATTGCTCTCCAACTGATTTTGTTGCTCATACGCCTCATAGATCTAACGCTTAAATTGTCATGCTTCTGTCGCAAAGTGCACGGTTTGGCCATTTTTGGGTTTTAGTTTCTATATTCGAAGAACATTATTACATTTGTGGGCGAAGAGGTCATTTTTTGTTGTTACTTTTGTGGGCGATGATCGTTATGTTTCTGTAGATGTGTTTGAAGGGCTTGGATTAAATGTGGCTAGATTGAGAACCAAGGCGATTTGTGTGTGTGTGTGTGTGTGGGCACAATGGGTTCATTTTACACCTTCACCTCTGCAAAGAATGTTCTGTGTCTGAATGTCATAAATCATCCAAACATGATGAAAAAGTTATAGTGAGTTCGTCTGAAAATGCAAATGGATTACGCGATTCAATTGCCTACTTACCAAGGTATAGGCCCATCAATGATCGAGGTTTATGGGATTATGGCACATAGGTCTATCGTGGGATTCTTTATTACAGTATACTCTATACCACTGTGTTCACTTTTAAGGAGGGTTAAACATTGGGGGTGAAAAACAATAATTCTATGCGCCTACGAAAGC